AAAAAATTTTACAGCATGGGCCATGTATATTCGTAAAGAAAAACTGATCTCAATTTTCACCTTAGAGCATGCAGATGTGCACAGGAAATCACCTATGCTTGTGTTGCATGCAGTGTTGATTATAACAGCAAAAAACTAAATAATCTGAACATCCAAACACAGAGAAATGAGTAAATACTATATATAGGGAATTCCTAGGAGATACAAGTAACAGTGGGGAAAGATCTCTAAAATGTATTCATCAGTAGAACAAATTCAGGTGGCAAAACACTAGATAAATTATGATGCCATTAATGGAGAACACACATGTGTTCATATCCATATACACACCAATACTATATTATTCTATTGGTATTTGTATCTGTGCCACAGGTTCCCTTTGGAGAAGGGATAGGATAGACAAATGGTGGTAAATGGGATAAATTTTGTAATTTATCTAATTGAGTAAATTATATTAATTTATAATAAATACAATTAAACATATATTTTTAAAATAAAGTGAAAACTTGAATTTTAAGTAATATAACATGCTGTATACCTTCCTCTTTTTTTTTTTTTTTAATTTTTTTTTCAACGTTTATTTATTTTTGGGACAGAGAGAGACAGAGCATGAACGGGGGAGGGGCAGAAAGAGAGGGAGACACAGAATCAGAAACAGGCTCCAGGCTCTGAGCCATCAGCCCAGAGCCCGACGCGGGGCTCGAACTCCCGGACCGCGAGATCGTGACCTGGCTGAAGTCGGACGCTTAACCGACTGCGCCACCCAGGCGCCCCTACCTTCCTCTTTTTATCCCAAGCTCCTTTCTCTCAATTTCTAAGTACTCTAAATTAAAATGAGTATTTCTATGGGGGGGGCACCTGTGTAGCCCAGCCAGTTAAGCATCTGACTCTTGATTTCAGTCTCAGGTCCTGATCTAATAGGCATGGGACTGAACCCCATATCAGGCTCCAAGCTGAGCACAGAACCTGCTTAAGATTCTCTCTCCTGCTCTCTCTGCCCCTCTCCCCCACTCATGCTTGCTCTCTCTCTCTCAAAATAAATAAACATTTAAAAAAAGAGTAGTTCTTTGGATTATGGTAAAATATTGCATATTTCCTTCTTGGTAATTTTCCAAAGGAATTGTCATTAATGTACAAAGTGCTATTCAGGTTTGGTCTCATTTTCATGTTTCATTGAAAAATTTATTCTATGTTAGCATGCAATATAGAAACAGAAATTATTCAAAACACATATCAGGTTAGCAAATTGTGGGTTCAGTCTGCACATTGGATAATAAAGCATAAACACTTCTGGAAGATTCAGACACTTCCCCAGAGAAATTGAAAGAAACTTGCAGAGCATATGTTCCTAGGCTGTAGAACAGCTCATTTGATCATAGTGGTCGGTTAAATTAGTCATTCATGAATTAACTTTATTTTATGATTAAAAAGACTGATAAGTCCTGAAAAGTACAGACTACCCTCTTTTTGATCAATCCACTGAATTCCAATTTGCGTGCTATTTTTTATCTCTAAACCTCAAATAATTTCAAACATGTTTAACATTATTGTATGCATTTATAACTGGCACGGGACCAAAGAAAGTCTCTGTGTTTAGGTAAGTGCATACGACTGTGGGCACCTGCATTTTCTATAGGAACCCATACTACACATACTTACAAGCATTTACTTTTAATTTTATGGGTATACTGATTTCCTCTATCTAAGCCTCTGGAATACCTGGATCTTGTCACTATACCCAATGAACAACCCCCTCTTAATGCCCAAACCAAAAAATACTAAAGGACGTTTACATAAAAACAGCATAAAATATGCCCGCAAACTTAAGGACCTGTTCATCTGAAAGATGGTAGGCAATTCTAATACTACTTTTTTCCCCAAAACAATTTATAAAACCCCCTACTAAAGTATGCACTAGTGAGTTACTGATAAATTCCATTTATCAGTACATTAGAATATCATAATAATGAGGTATGATAGACTCAAAATGTCCTGTGAAAATTCCCTCTACAATCTATAAAGTGCACCGTTCTTTCTGGACCAGAATCAAAGTGTGTTGAGATACTCACAACAGGAAACATATAGAGATTTTCCATATGATTGTCAATCCTGTGTATATGTCCATAAAAAGGAATAGATGTGAGCGTAGTAAAAGCCAAAGAAGATTAAATGTTCACATGATGTAACTCCACTTGTTATTTCTCTCCTGAATATATGAGCTGAAAATTGTATTCCCTCAAGCCTGCATATCGTTTAGCGTTTAAAATCTCTAATACTCAACCCAGGGAATGATGAATTGGTGCTACATTTTTGAAGTCCTGTGGCAGAATTACATAGCTGTGGGTACCATAATTCATTCCCCAAAATTTTCAGTGTCAGAATACCAAGTTTACTCAAAGTGACAAAAGTACCCAGCCAAAGGACTACATTCCTTCGTTCTTATGCTCTTGGGGCCAGTTGAACAATGACAGATATACTAAAATACCCTGTGAAAATTTTTCACTAAATTTCCTTACAAATGAAGTGGTAAGCTCTCTCCCCACTGTACTGCCTACAATGTGTATGTGATGTCTGGAGCTCTAGCAATTGTTGTGCACCATAAGGACAAAAGTCATATTCCAAGGACATCAGAGCAGAAAATTGGAAGACTGGATCCCTGATGACTTTAAGGAGGTGCTCTGTCATGTCTGAACAGCCTCTTATTTGTTAGTTTGGGTTCTCTGACACATAGAGGCAAATTTATTTTTACGGAAATTGGTCTCAACATGTTTAAATGTTAGTCTACCTATAGTTGCTCAAGCCTTTATGAATTTAAAGATAGCTACTGAATGCATTTTTGCATCTTCATTGAGAACTATACCTTATATAAACAAAAAATGCCCCCAAGGCCATTCTTAATGTTTTTCTTTATAATTCTGCACTCTTTGATTATCTTTTGGAACCCGCCCCCACTCCACTCCCCATTTTTCTTATGGCTTGGATTCAATCAGGTATATTGGGTACATATTTTCTCTGTGCTATCGTCTTTACTCTATTTGCTCCAATCTAATTAGCCTTGTTTTCAGGACTTCTGAAATTCTATTTTCTTTCTCCTTTGTACTGCTTTGCTCATGATTCTGCCTCATTTATCTGGTAGTCACTCTTGAGATCTCGGCTCAAAGTTTACTTTTCCCACTGAGTTACAATCACTGGATATATATAGCCTCAGCATAAAATGTACCTTTCTTTACAGAACCTAGCACACTGTTGCATTTTCTTTTTTGTTACCTAGTGAAATCACATGTTTAATGTATTTCCCTCTCCAATCTTCTAGATTTTAAACTGCGTCCAAATAGGACCCATGCCTTTTTTCCGAACCCATTTCTTTCTGGTGCCTGGAACAGTTTGTGTTGCAGACTAGGCACTCAGTAAATGAAGAGAATCATCTAACCCATACAGATACACCTGGTAATTATGTGAACTGGGGCCAGCAAGAACAGTTGGAGCTGCATGTAAATGTAACAAACCCACACTCCAAAAGCAAATGTCAGGAAGTGGAGATTATCTCAATTCGAGAAATCTGTAAATAGTAATTCTCAACGGGAACTCAAGATTGTTTAATAGGTTTTCTGAAAGTAATAGTGAACTGTGAAAATAGCAAAGGGTACATCTAAAATTTGAAGAGAACAAAAGAAGAGAACGTGATTTTAAAAAGTGACATAACTTAGAAAGTAAATGTAATTCAAGTTGAAGAAAATAAATGTAATTCAAAGAAAGTAGATTTTTCTTCCTGATATGTACTTTCTCACCCCTACCCACTTCACAGCCTCATTTTTTTTTTTTTTTTAGTTTATTTATTCATTCTGAGAGAGAAAGAGTGCATGAGAGAGGCACAGAGAGAGAGAGAGAATCCCAACCATGGTCCACACTGCCAGTGCAGATCCGATGCTGGGCTCAAACTCCCTACCCGCAACATTATGACCTAAGCTGAAATCATGAGATGGTCGCTTAACCAACGGAGCTACCCAGGTGCCCTAATTCACTTTATCAATTACCAGTGGTGTTATCTTACCCAAGCGCTGGCTTGATAAGGTCAAAATTCTTTGCAAAATTCTTTAGGGTCTCACGATAGACTATTGCAGACAGGACTGCTCAACAACCAGTATATTCATCAAGTAAAGAACTATGATTTTTATCACTTATTTTTGATGGATTTTACTTCTAGATGTTTGGCGGGGGGGAGTTGATTTTCCTATTTATGATCGAAAGTAATTCACAGCTTGAAGCAATCAGCATAGACGTTAAAAGAATGTGAATGAGCCCATGCATCCACACTTCAATGCCTAACATCTCACAGGAACTGGCAATTTGATTCCCAGCTGGATTATTTTCACGCACAACGTCTTAATTTTCACGGGTTCAAATCATGCATGGCAAACTAATTTTCATTATGTTACAGGATACTTTAAGTACTACCAGGAGAGATTGCCGACAATAAATCAATTTAAGTGTGCAGAACAAAATGGGAAGTGGTTTCGGGTCATCGTTGGGGAATAAACCTAATGACCTCGTCTTTTAATTACTAAAAATAATTTATCTTAGGTTGTTGGGAGTTCCAGTTCAAGATGGTGACAGAGGAGGATCCCTGGCTCACCTCTTTCCGCTGACATACTGAATCTGAAGCCACATGTCGAACCACCTCCTGGGACAAAACCTAAGAGCAGACCAACTCTTACCCAACCAGGCTAAAGACAGAACGTCCACATCGAAGGCGGGAAGAGGGGCTGGGGCACAAACTCGCCATTAAACCCCAACCCCTGCAAGGTGATACAGCTGGGAGGGAGCTGAGCTTCTCCCCAAGTGAGGAGTCTGAACCCCACAGCGGGCACCCACATGGGAAGAAACGCTCCCCGCCCCCCTCCCCCACACCAAACGTCCAGCTTTGCAAATCAAACGTCCACAAGACCCACAAGACTAAAAAGCTGAGGAATGGCTCTTCAAAGGCTCTCACAAGGACTCACCCGCCCCAGGGTTCAAGCGCAGAAGCAGCCAATCCAGAAGCTCCCAACTTTGTGGCCCTACGGGCGCCATTTACTGATCTTCAAGTCGCAGCCTGAGGGTCAGGCATGTAATCTAGACACACGCAGAGGCTGCTGGCTGGCGGCCACCATCTGCAGCTCTCCCTCTCTCGGCCTCACTTCAGCTAACAGGCGCCATTTTTGTCCCCCTAATTTAATGCTAGGGTTTTTTTCTTTCTTTCTTTTTCACAGAAAAAGAAATACACATTTCCTCTACCACATACCAAAGCGTGTGCATCTCCCAGAGGACTGCTTTTACACATGTCCGTTGGCCGGCGTTCCGCTACTGCTTCGCGGTGACCGCCCGGCTCGGGAGGGCAGGGCAGGGCAGCGTGTGTTCCTGGGTCTCGCGAGACCACAGCCATGAGCGCGAACGTTCTTAGTAGCCTACCAACTCCAGGGCCCTGCGTTGATAACATATTGGAGCAGACACCTAGTCTTTCTGAGACAGAGGCCTATTTGCCTGTCCTGGAGCTTTGGCCTTTAGGGACAGGCTTCTGATCTGACACACATCTACAGGCCACACATGAGCTCTCAGGAAACAAAGGCCGGTGGATGCCATCTTCTCGGTCTCCCTCTGCCTTGCACCAGCTCACCTGTGTATTGCAGAAAAGAGCTTAGACCCTCAGCTGGTGCCCAATTTTTGTGGACATCCATACACGACTCTGGTGGCCAGGGGGAATTACGCTCATGGGTCCCACACAACTGCAATCAATGGAGAGAGTTCTTAAATAGCTCCCATTCTCCAGGGACAGCTGGAAGCAACAGACCCAGGAGCTCCATGTTTCTTAAAAGGAACCCATTAGCCTACCTCCATAGTTACAGCCTGAGGGGCAGGCTTCAAATGAAAACAAGCATCTGAGGGCTCACTGTTATCCTTTCCAGAGACCTCAGAGGGCTGGCCACTATCTTTGCATTCCCTGAGCTGCATTCTAGAGCACCACAAGCCTGACTATAACTATAGTTAATAATACTGGATTGCATATTTGAAAGTAGCTAAGAGGGTGGATCTTGAAACTTCTCACCGCAAGAAAAAAAATATATAGCTATGCATGGTGATGGATGTTAACTGAACCTGCTGTGATTATTTTGTAACATAATACACAAATATTGAATTATTACATTGCACGCCTGAAACTAATATATCAATTATACCTTAATAAAAGAAAAAAAATAATTTGTTTGAGCTGCGTGCTACTTATTGGTGGTAACAAGGATCATAAACAATGACGCCTCAAATGAGGATGAACACTGTGAAGGTACTTACTGAGTCCTTAAGCAGAATTTTATTTTTGCTCTAGTACGATTGCCTAGTCTGTCATTTTTATATGCACTAGTGAAAGTTCTCAGCAGACCTCTGGGAGGGCATTAATGAGAACTCCTTAGGCATGAATAATGGTCTTTTAAAAAAAAAATCTATCTAATTTTCATCTTCTGGAGCAGATTTCTAGAAAGAGTACGTAGGGAAAATCCTTGCTGATATAATACGCAAACTTTCTTGTTTCCAGCAGTTTCCATATATTAAAACCAACTCTGGGTGATTAGTCTAACTAGAATGTTAACATAACGCTTGACGAGAAAGTCATGGTGTAAGATAAATCATTTCTTCTTCAGGGTTTAGGAAATAGAAAGCACAATTTGATACCATACAAATGTTTTAAATTTCAGTCTTCCGTGAGTTCTTAATTAATATGACAACAAGTAACTTACTTGTCAAGAAACGAAAACCAAACTGAATAAGCAACTACAAATAATACAAACAACACATTTATTTAGAAAAATAAACTGAAAATGCTGTTTGGTACATTTTCCCATGAAGCATAGATAAATGGCTATAAAAAACTGTTATATGTCAAATACAAATTACAAATGATTTCTTTAATTAAGAGAACAAATAGATGTTCAACACAAATGTTTAGTGTGTAGTTCACTGTATTTGACTTCTTGGCTGCTTATGATAAAAATGATCTTCGCTAAAAAAACAAAACCAAAACCAAAAATAAACTTTTGATCCCTTCTTCATTCCTTTGACCACACTGATGCTTTTTCATTATTATTCTGTAGTTTTTTAATCTGAGACAAGTCCATGTTTTTTTTTTAATAAGATAACTGATCTTTACAGAAGAAAGAGAAACCAATGTCTGGAGAATTTTGAAATGTTTCCTTTTGGGACTCGTGCATGTAACCGCTTGTGGCCGCAAAACTCATGGGACCATCTGTGCAAATAACGGCACACATCATTACCCTGAATGGACGTGACAGTGCAAATATTAGAAGTGCATTGAGAAGTAATCAGTAAGAACTGGCCTCCCCCTCTCTTAATATGGAGTGAAGGAGTGAATGCAGAAACTTTTCAAGCAATCAACGACAATGCTTTTATTCCATTATGGCTTTGAGGGTGTACACAAGATGGCAGACATCCTCTCTGCAGACAGCAACATTCTGTCCTAATACTGTTCCTTGCTGACGTGCTCCTCTGTTCACTGTTTTTGTCTACTTGTTTTAAACTGCTAAATAATTCTAGCTAGAGATACCTCCTATCTCTATACTTTCACCTTCCCAAATGATAAGTCAACTTACAATTTTCTAGCTTAATTGCTAAATATAAATTTTTTCAGGCTCACATCTGGGAATATTTTTTCCAAGGTGAAATAAAATGGGTTGTGTTTGTTTTTTGTTGTCGGTGGTGGTGTTGTTGGCTTGCTTGTTTAGTTCCTTTCATTTTTTTTTTTTTAATTTTCTTGGTAATTTCAGAGTGAAAAGTTAAGGCTTTTGTTTTTTTTTTTTTTTTTTTTTTTTGCCCCCAGGGTTCTGCTCATGGCTGTCAGACTGAGGCAGATGATTTTATGCAGACCGTATGAGTGATCTTTTGTGCTCCAAAGTTGAGGGATTTGCTGCTCTAAGATGGACAGGTTCCTGGTTACTTCAAAATTCGTTCTGGCCTCAAGAAGTCATATTGATGAATCTGAAGTGAGAAAAATGAGCTGACATGCCTCCAAATAAAGATATTCCTTCCAACCTGAAGGACCTGTCAAAGGAAGGAAAACAAAACATAAAAGATCAGTTTAACTAGTAAAAACAGTTTAACAAAAACACATTACACTTATTAATGAGCCAATTGTTTGTTAATGGGATGCATAATTTAAAATTATTTGATTATCGAGGATTTTAAGTGTCTACGCATATTTTAAACACATATCCCATTTATATTTCATATATAAAAACGTATGAAAAGTTAGTTGTCAAAATTTAGTGGTAGCATGCTTATCTTTCAATGAAAAGATCTTCTTTCTGGCAGTTTTTATTTTATTTATTTATTTTTTTAACATTTATTTATTATTTTGTGAGAGACAGAGAAACAGCAGGAGCCAGGCAGGGTCAGGGAGAGACACAGAATCCGAAGTGGGCTTCAGGCTCTGAGCTGTGAGCACAGAGCCCCACAGGGGGCTCAAACTCACAAACCGTGAGATCATAACCTGAGCCGAAGTCGGACGCTTAACCAACCAAGCCACCCAGGTGCCCTAGCATTTTTTTTTAAACTTCAGATAAATTTGTCCACTTGTGAATGTACCAAGTTCTCAGGATGTTTCATAAATTTTTAGATTATAAACTTTTTATATATACCACCCTCAAAAAATATTTTATCAAGCAATCACTTTCATTAAGATAATCTTTCGTTGCCATCTATATAGTCTCAGTATATTAACAAATTGTCAAAATAATATCCTTTTCCTGATGCAACAGAGCATTCAAAGAGCTAGTCTTTTTTTTTTACTTCATGAATATCTACAATACTTTTTAAACTAGCACCTTAAAATAATTTATATTCATATTTGTAATTAATGAACATATTTTTTTTAAAAACAAAAAGAAATGTAGCTGTAGCTCTCACCCTGCCCACCCACTATCCAACATCACTTAATGAGAGAGTGTCTATGGTCTGCTCTTTAAGTTACGATGTAATAGAGAATATTTATGCAATGACTTACTATAATAGGTCGAGAAAGTTATTAAAATAAACCTGATACAATAATCAATTCATTAATACATTACTTTAAAAGTCAGACAGTAATGACTTTAAGTATACATTTTTTAAGTTTATTTATTTATTTATTTTTTTAAATTTCTTTTTTTCAACTTTTTTATTTATTTTTGGGACAGAGAGAGACAGAGCATGAACAGGGGAGGGGCAGAGAGAGAGAGGGAGACACAGAATCGGAAACAGGCTCCAGGCTCTGAGCCATCAGCCCAGAGCCTGACGCGGGGCTCGAACTCACGGACCGTGAGATCGTGACCTGGCTGAAGTCGGACGCTTAACAGACTGCGCCACCCAGGTGCCCCAAGTTTATTTATTTTTATATAGAGAGAGAGCATATGCATGAGTATGGGAGGGGCAGAGAGAGAGGGAGAGAGAGAATCCCAAGCAGGCTCTGCCCTATCAATGCAGAGCCTGACTTGGGGCTCAATCTGATGAACCGCAAGATCAAGACCTGAGCTGAAATCAAGATTCAGGCACCTGACAAACTGAGCCACCTAGGCACCCCTAACTATATTTTTTAGCCTGAGAACCTCTTGTTTTAACTCCCTCATGGGGGAGGAGGGTAGGTGAACTCCAAACTCATGATGCTTTCTCCAATACAGAGCCACAAACATACACACAAACAGAATAAATAATTTAATCCTTTTGTGACAAATTCAGTCATTACTGTTCTAGTAGGTTAATCGTAATTCTTTTTCATTTTTTTTATTCTCACCTGCCACAGCAAAGTCCTAGTACTAAATAACTTCAACTATGGAAATTAAATAAAGTAATGATCCTCTCTCATTTCCAAGATGAAAACTAGAAAAATCACCATACACGATTAATCAATGTGTGTTGGGGGCTAGCTCTGGCTCATCACTAAAGATGTTGTATGAACAACACAGAAGTAATGGAAGACAGAGTTGCTTACAGTGCAAGAGTATATCAATATAGAGGAATTCAGAGGGCTGGAACAAACTGGCTTAAGCTACCCTTAATCTAACAGCATGATTTGCACCTGCCTATTTATGTTATTTTTGTATGTTCTAGAAACATAAGCCTCCACGCCTGTAAAGGAAATTGACGTTAGAGCTGTTACTAATGTATCAGCAATAGTAATATAATAATGAAAATTTGGGTTTTACTATTAAGTTAGACCATACAAAAGTGACTTTCTACAAGCATACAGAAACACAATTCATGTACTTAGGGCAAAGATAATTAAATATGCCAGTTATATTTTCATGGATCTCTGATATAGCAGTCTTTATCGCTCCACATCATTATTTTTTAAAGCTTATTAAAACTGGTAGAACAATCATTCATTCAAAACAATGTATTCCCTACCCACCATATACCAGATACTGCTCTAGATGTAAAAATGTAAAGTTCCCTCCAAGTATATTAGTACCCAGAAGGTAAGGAGACACACAAAAATTCATGGTAAAAGCAGATTTGTGCCATAGTGTATCAAATAAAGAAGGAGCATAGGACTAGAAGCTTACAGAAGATGACACATGAATTGAGGCTTAAGGAATCGTTTGAAATTTGCAAAAGTGACACGTTGCTGTTAGTTATGATATAAGGATTTTTCCAACAGAAACAGGTGGACAAAAGTAAAGGAGAGCAGTGGTGCCTTTAATCCCGTGTAGCAGGGGCGCCCGGGTGGCGCAGGCGGTTAAGCGTCCGACTTCAGCCAGGTCACGATCTCGCGGTCTGGGAGTTCGAGCCCCGCGTCAGGCTCTGGGCTGATGGCTCAGAGCCTGGAGCCTGCTTCTGATTCTGTGTCTCCCTCTCTCTCTGCCCCTCCCCCGTTCATGCTCTGTCTCTGTCCCAAAAATAAATAAACGTTGAAAAAAAAATTAAAAAAAAATACCGTGTAGCATACAATTGAGAGGAGAAAATGTAGTTTTTTCTGGAGAGGCTTTCAGGGGCCAAGGTGTCCTTTCATACTACGTCAAAAAAAATTTTAGAGTTTTATCCCAAGGGTAACGGGAACTGCTGAAGAGGTCTGATGAGGAGAGTGGCCAGAGGAAGCGTGGAGAATACGATGGAAGGCAGAGCCAGCATACAGAGAGCAGATGCTTACAGCAAAGGAATGGCA